GAATCAGAGGAGGCGGAGTGGGAGAATCAGAGGAGGCGGAAGAGGCGGAGTGGGAGAATCAGAGGAGGCGGAGTGGGAGAATCAGAGGAGGCGGAGTAGGCGGAGTGGGAGAATCAGAGGAGGTGGAGGAGGCGGAGTGGGAGAATCAGAGGAGGCGGAGGAGGCGGAGTGGGAGAATCAGAGGAGGCGGAGTGGGAGAATCAGAGGAAGCGGAGGAGGCAGAGTGGGAGAATTAGAGGAGGCGGAAGAGGCAGAGTGGGAGAATCAGAGGAGGCGGAGGAGGCGGAGTGGGAGAATCAGAGGAGGTGGAGTGGGAGAATCAGAGGAGAGTCAAAAGCCCCCAGGTCTGGAGTGGCTGATGAGGAAGAGGAGGAATAGGTGGGTCCAGTGCTTGACGTGCAGAAGGCAGGAAAGGAGAGCAGTGGAAATCTATGGGCGAGTCCTCGGGATGGGAGCTCCTAGAGGGAAGAGGGAATAGAGCTGGCAGAGAGAGAGAGAGGTGGAGCCTGGGCCATCTGTCAGCCCTCAGATGGAGAGTCAACAGCCCCCAGGTCTGGAGTGGCTGATGAGGAAGAGGAGGAACAGCTGGGTCCAGTGCCTAATGTCAGACGAGGAGGGGGGGGCGGAGCGGGGGAATCAGATGAGCTGGTCCTCGGGATGGGAGTTCCGAGGGGGAAGAGGGAGTGGAGCTGGCAGAGAGTGGTGGAATTGGGACGTCCAATTCCATTGAGAGTCAACAGCCCCCAGATCTGGTGGTGGCTGATGAGGAAGAGGAGGAACAGCTGAGTCCAGTGCCTGGTTACAAAAACTAACCCTAAACTCTGCTCTGGGGTAGGGGAGTGTGAAGATTAAGATTAATCCACAGATCTTAAAATTGCCGAGCAATTTTGGACACGCCTGCCCAAGACCCTATCCAAGATATTACGGTCGCAGTTCTCAGCTGACTGCAAGTTGGTCATCGTGGATGGCAGCTGCAGATAGGTGGGGTTGTGTGTGGTGACGCCAATCTCGTTGGAGCCGGCCCATTTGTCCACCATCTTGTCAATCCACACCTGGAAGACCTCGCCGTTCCACAGCGGCCGGTTGCTGAGGACCACGCCGTGGTTGAAGTCGTTGGTGGCACTGCACGGACAGGGAAGGAAGGGCAGAGTTCTCTGTTAGAGCTCCTTGGGACAATATCCAACAGACCATGGTTAGCCATTACCAGGTGGACCAGATGGGAAACACAGCCAGATAAGTCCCAAAAGTGCTTTTTCAGGAGGCAACTGGACTATCTGGGTTTTCTTTTGAAGATGTTTCGCTTCTCATCTGAGAAGCTTCTCCAGCTCTGACTGGATGGTGGGGAATGGAAGGATTTATCCTCTTTGCAGACAGCTGGTCATTTGCATCCTTTTTAGAGGGCCATTGAGGCCATTTGGAGGTTTATTTGTGTCCTCGGTGGTGCAAATTGGTTTGGAGCCTTCTTGGAACTGCTGAAAGGAGCTGTGTTGTGGACTGCACAACTTGTTTGCATTACTCAGGTGACCCCGAGGACACAGACAAAATTCCAAGTGGCCTCAATGGCTCTCTAAAAGAAAGGTCTTTAAGGAAAGAGAGAGAGAGAGAGAGAGAGAGAAAGAGAGAATGAAAGAAAAAGGGGGAGAATGAAAGAAAGAGGGGGAGAATGAAAGAAAAAGGAAATATCTTAGAATAAGAGAAGTAGAAGGGACCTTGAAGGTCACTTAGTCCAATCCAAAGGTTGTCCCAAAGGTGCTTTTATTCGCAAGAGGCAACTGGACTTTCTGGTTTTTATCTGAAGACGTTTCGCTTCTCATCCAAGAAGCTTCTTCAGCTCTGACTGGAGGGTGGGAGATGGAAGGAATGGGAGATGGAAGGAATACTCCTTGCAGGCAGCTGGTCATTTGCATCCTTTTAAGAGAGCCGTTGAGGCCACTTGGAGGTTTGTCTGTGTCCTCAGGGTCACCTGAGCATTGCAAATGGGTGTGGAGCCTTCTTGGAACTGCTGAAAGGAGCCCCGTTGTGGACTCCACAACCGTTTGTACCACTCAGGTGACCCTGAGGACACAGACAAACGTCCCAGTGGCCTCAACGGCTCTCTAAAACAAAGGCCTTCGAAGAAAACCGGAAAGTCCAGTTGCTTCTCGAAAAAGCACTTTGGGAGGGAGGGAGGGAGGGAGGGAGGGAGGGAGGGAGGGAGAGAGAGAGAGAGAGAGAAAGAAAGAAGAGAGAGAAAGGAAGGGAAGTAGGTTGGTTGGTTGGTTGGTTGTTTAGTTAGTCAGTTCTGGTAAACTCTTGCTGGCTGGGGGATTCTGGGAGTTGAAGTCCACAAGTCTTTAAAGTTGCAAGGTTGGCAACCCTACACTCGAACAAGGGCTAAAGAGGGGCTGCCCCAAAGATCCAAAGCACCAGAAGGCAGGACAAGAAACAATGGATGGCAACTAACCAAGGAGAAAAGCAACCTGGAATTAAGGAGACATTTTCCTAATAGCGAGGACAATTAACCAGGGGAACTCCTTGACACCAGAAGCTGTGGGTGCTCCATCACTGGAAGGTTTTTTAGAAGAGGCTGAACAGCAATTTGTCGAAAATGGTTTAGGGCAGGGGGACCAGTGGCATAGGGTCTCCTGCTTGAGCGAGGCGGCGGGGCAGACTACAAGACCTCCAAGGTCCCTTCCGAGATGTTATTGATCTGGGATGTTATTCTATCATCCCAGATCAATTAGCCGGTAGAACTACTTGCTACTAGAAGTTGTGGGTGCTCCATTGCTGGAGGTTGTTAAGAAGAGACTGTCTGGAATGGTGTAGGGCAGTGATGGCACGCAGGTGGCACGCAGAGCCATTTGTGCGGGCATGCGAGCCCCAGGCAAACTTACCTCACTGCGCATGCGTGCACCTCCCGGCTGATTTTCGGCCTGTTTGAGGCCTTTTTCAGCCTGCCAGAGGCTTCAGGGAAGCTTCTGCAGCTTTTGGAGGCCGAAAAACAGGCCCGTTTCATCACTTCTGGAAATACAGGAAGTGATGAAACAGGCTATTTTTCGGCCTGCAAAGGCTGCAGCGGCTTCCCTCAAGCCTCTGGGAGGCCGAAAAAGGCCTCAAACAGGCCGAAAATCAGCTGGGAGGCGCAGTGCAGGAAAGGGGGCCCAGGGGGGGAATCGCACACGCATGCGCAGGGGGCATGGGGGGGGGGCGTATGCATTGCCTTCTGGGTGCATGCACGCGAGCATGTGCGCTTGTGCACGCACACAATTTTTGGCACAGGAGCCCAAAAAGGTTAGCCACCACTGGCGTAGGGCCTCCTGCTCGATCAACGGGCTGGACTGGAAGATCTCTAAGGTCCCCTTCCCAGCTCTCTATTCCAATGGAAGATACGTACTGAGGCCACAGTGCCGTCCGTCCTTTGTTGATAATAGCAGCTTTCTCACCACAGTTTGGGTGGAAGAAGAGGCGTTCGGGTTCCGGCTGCCCCCGGCGTCAATGGCCCTCCGCCCCACGTCTGGCGAGAGGGCCCTTATGATGGCATTGTTGCGCTGAAGCCGGTCGATGTGGTTGTGATTGTGCACGATGGTGACCTTCACGGCCATGCTGTAGAGGTCCACACCATAGACCACCAAGGGGGTGAGGGTGGTGGTGACACCTGCAAAGAGAGAGCGAGGGGAATGGCCTCAGGGTCACATTGGCCCGTCGCTATGTTTGGCGTCCTGGCCTGGCTTGGGAGAGGGATTTAATTGGGGGCATTAATTCTTCAGGTGGCCCTCAGCTTACGACCGCCCTGCAGCCTGTCCATTGTGGTCATAAAGTGGCTCGCCCACACGATTGACCTAATGTCACCTTTTTTTTTTTTTGCATTATCATCTCTTTTATTCATCGAACGTGAAACTCAGTCAATGGAACGTTTAAAAATGTATCAC